TGTTTATTAAGTGATTCTTCCAAACTATCTAAATGTTTTGTTAGTGAATTCAGTTTAATAGAATTTTTTCTGAGCAACTTGCAATATCTTAGTTAAAGTGCATGAATCAATGGTAATTGCTAATTATTATAGAATTAATTTAATATTGTACCATATTAAAAAAAAAAAAAAAAAAAAAACTTAATAATTAATACTTACGATCATTTTAAACTGAGAAGTCAGAAGGAGAATGAGGTATAACCACTTCAGGAAAAGGAGATAAAGTTCTTTCGAATAGTTCTATGTTAAAAGGTGGTCTAACCTAGTGTAGTAACATAACCACAAAGTATTAATATAAAAATTGATTATAAAGAATAATTCTTAAATTATAATAGATAATACTTCACTGTTGGTGAAATGGGTAGTTTGGAGTTCGGTCATTTTAATTGTTCCAAAGATTTTGGAGTTTTGAAATTTGGTCGTTTGATTGTTCCGAAACTTTTGGAGAATTAGAGACTGATTTCTTGGATTGTTCTGAAATATTTGGAGGACCAGAGATTGATTGCTTGAATTGTTCCAAAACTTTTAGAGATTGTTCCAAAACTTTTGGAGTTCGTAAATTAAATTTTGTTTGACTAGAATTAAGTGAAATATCAGAAGTTCTTATTTTTTTTTGTATACTAGTTGCTGAACTGCTCATATTAGCTTTGGTATCCATTAATAATATATTTAGAATAAATTTGGAATAATTATTCAATATATATATATAAACATATACTAAAATTCCTTATACTATTTTGTTCTGATTTCTAAATAAAGTTAATAAATATAGTTTAATATATTTGTACTAATAAATAAGCATAAAATACTTTGTTGCCTCTTATTTTTTCTCAATGATCAATTTTTTAATATTATTTGGTGTTCATAATTCAACTACTTTGCTGAAAATTTAATCTTCTAGTTGATCAACACTGTGTGTATAGTGTGTAGATGAATGGAAAGATATGCCAAAAAGAAATGAGAGGCAACATTAATTACGACACTAACTTTTTCTTGATTTCATCTTTTAGGTCGTTGTAATACATTAAGATTAGATGTGTTGTTATCTGAAGTCTTGGTTTTGTTTTTGTTCATGGCTAAGAAAATATCGAATGTAATAAAAATGTAGAAGAAAAAAAATCCTTTTATTTATTAAATAATAACATGTCATATAATAGTGACGAATTTATTAAATAATAACCAAATACTGATAATCTTGAAGTAATAATGAATGACAAATT